ATTGCTGCCAATGGCAAAGGGATAGCTCGTATTTAACAGCCACCTCTGGTCCGTGATGCCAACACACAACCCCTTCCAACATGACCACGTTGCCAACGGACCTTCCACGCGCGAATCGGCCTACGTCTACAGATACAGTGCAACAAAAACCCAACAACCCTCCACTGTTGCATCTAAAGTGCTCCTATGGTCTATCCTGCCTCAACGTCCATGGCTTTCACGACGGTGGCAAACCTAATCATGGGCAGTCACACTACTGATGACTTAATATCCCCGGTCACCGAAATCCTCCTCTCTACGACTCCCTCCGCATCAATTACTTCGACGAACACCACCACACCACATATTATCCTATCCGCAGCACCGCTGAGACCATTTTCGATGCCCCATCGACCACTACAATCACCAGCACCGCTCTCTACCACCAGCAATGTGGACTGTGATCGCACAAATACCTCACACATCGGCCGGAGCGATCCTTACCTAATTCATCGTACTACGACCAGCACACCGGTGCCAGAAGCCCCAAAGTTCAGTCGCCTCCACTGTCCAAACCGCCCATACATATCCACCCACCGCAAGGACCTATTCGGAGGCATGCGCGTCCACGAAAGTAGAAATCACTGCAATCACTGTGTCACTATTTAAATAGTGACAAAAAAGTGGACGAAAACTAGAATGGCCAAAAAAATTCAGATAATCCGTTGGATAAGAAAAGGAAGTTTTTATAACGCCAAGAGCCTAGAAAGAGGGTTTCTGGATTGTCATACCTCCACAACGGCAAAGCAGTTACTGGTGCACTGGAAATCGATTATGAACATCGCAACACTACAATGTACCACATGATGGCAAAAAGGAGGAACTATTAGGATCTTCAGAAATTTACTGGCGAACTTTCAAACTGCTAATGAGTAAACAACATCAGATAAAATATTAGAAATCAGTGTGGTTTGCACATTGGAGGGCTGCACTGGGCGTTCCTTACTAGTGCCATGGTGGAAAATGGATCCATGGAAATAGCGCACAATAAGTTGTCCTCGTGACTCAGTGGTGTGAGGTGTGTTTGTCGGATGGCAAGCATTGCTTTCTTTGGAGATCCAAACCACTGTTAAATGACGAGGCAGCCGTACAGGTAATTTCAGTGGTGATCGAAGAAAATCGACGGCATCTTTC